TCGCCGTCTTTGCTTGTAAAGTGCTTCGTAGAGTTTGAGGCTAGATCTGTTACACACTTTACACACTGCACGAGTGCGAGTAGTGTAATGCAGTATCTGCCTTTCAAGCGCTGCCCTCATTGAGGGTGTGCAGCTTGCCCAAGCCGCGCTCATAGCATGGCTGCACGGCGGACAGCGCTGAATGAGTAAACAGTTCAGTGTTAGGGTTTAGGGTTTAGGGGTTTAGGGTTTAGGGAAGTGATTGTGGCCAAGTGTTTGTCCTGGCAGAGTCGCAGCAGGCCAGTTGCAAAAAGGTTTAGGGTTTGGGGGTTTAGGGTTTAGAGGTTTAGGGGTTTAGGGTTTCGGGTAGAGAACCGAACTGCGAACTTAGTTCGCTATGTCCAGGGCTCTCTATGCGTCCGGGGCGCCAAGCCAAGGAAGAAGTTCTCGGCTGCCTATCGGCTATTCAACGACGCCTGGCATAGATTTTGGGGTCTTTGCCAGTCTTCGGGTCGTGCTGCACGGGGGTTGGGAGATGAGAATCGTCAACCCTTCAAGTTTTCTGTAGGGTTTAGGGTTTAGGGTGTAGGGTTTAGGGTTTAGGGTTTAGGGTTCTGTAGTTTGTGTTTGAGAGGGGCTGCCCTCTCCGGCTTAGGAGCTAGCTGTCGGTTCAGCTTGAGGAGCTAAGCAGAGTCGTGGATGCCCGCCTGTGATGGTCAGGGCCAAGGCTGCTTTGAGTGTCCGGGACGTCTCCAACACAATCATTCTTCGTTGCGGTTGTTGTTGCTGTTATTGTTCTAGTTTTTCAATCCTTAATCGCTATATGCCGGACAGATCCCGGCGACATTGGCATTTACGGTGTTTCGTTAGTTCGCATGTCGGAGGCATCGCGCCTGCCACTGTTTCCGCCCTTGTGTCTTTGCACCATCCACACACCCCGACGACGTCGACATTTTTGGCGTTTCGTGTGGTTTGCGCTTCGAAAACAAGGTGGCTACCACTGCTTTAACTCGATGCGGCTACCCGGATACCAGAACATCCATGGCCAGCCATGGTACTTAACGTCCGCTCAGGCCTCATCCGTTGTCCATAGATAGAACTCCACTCAGGCCGCATCCGTCACACAGCACATCAATGGGCCAGCCATGATAACGTCCACTCAGACGTCATCCGTTCCCCAAAGCATCAATGCCCGAATCCCGATAGCATCCACTCAACAACCTCATGCGTCGTACCAGTACCACAGCTCTCCGTTCCCGAACCGTGATAAAGGGCACTGAGCCTCATCCGTCCTACCAGAGCATCCAAACCCGATTGGCGATAGTGCTCGCTCAAGAACCTCATCCGTGTGGTGCACTCAGACCCCTCCGTCATACCAGAGCACCCATGCCCGAACATCGGGCAAGCATCCATGCCCGAACCGCGATAGCGTCTACTGCACCCTCACCCGTGATACCAGCGCATCCATGGGCCAGCCATGATAACGTCCGCTCAGACCTCACCCGTTCCGCAGAGCATCCATGGGCCAGCACTGATCCGCTCTCAAAAAGCTGTGAAGGGTCTCGGCCTTAGATTTCGAGGCCTTGTTGTCTTCTTCATGGTCTACTCACACGCGTCTCACCATGTCTCACCCCAAAACACCTCGATGTGCCCAACAGCTCGGCGTAGCGCACTATGGTCTGGTTTTTCGTGCCAGATGCCACAAGTCCTGATAACGATCCAGAGTACACGCGTGTGAACACAACGCTGCAGCGTTTAAGCCAAGCTCTTCAGCTTGTCAGCACTGTCTCATTCAACGGGCTTTTGATACGATTTGTTAATATAGGCACATTAATAATTGGAACCGGGCTTGGGTGTATGTTAAACTCTAGTCAAAAGAAGGAATAACCCCCCAATAATCCCATTCTAATTATTAAGGCCCCTACATTACACGTAGCTATTGTCACCGTCAACTTTGTGGGGCCTTATCTTTTTCAGAAAGTCTTGTTGGCATTGGCAGTACAGTATTGGGCCGTTGTCAGATGATGGATGCTTTGGGTTGTCACAACAAGGGCTCAAGCGAAAAAGAGCTTGAGTAACGCCTCCTCAAGGCATGATCAAGCCCGACAACCTAAACCCTGAACCCTAAACCTTAAGCCGTAAACCGTAAAACGTAAACCCTAAACTTAAACCCAAAATCCCATGCCCGAAACGCTAAGCCTTGAAGGACATGGATACAGGGAAAGAGTCGAGCTCCTGGGGAGCACGCCTTGACTTGGGGAGAGCGGGCATGTTCCTGGGCCACGGATTCGGCTTTTCATGCTTTCGGAGGGTTTAGGGTTTAGCCCTTTCCATCAGGACTTGCGGTGCTTATGGATTTTAGGGGTTTGGCGGGTTTCCTTTGTGTTTCCTGGTGTATGCATCAGAGCTATTTGGGCTTCAGGGTTTAGGGTCCTTTCTCTCTCCTGAAGAGTGTAGACACGTAGGTGTCGGGTGTATAGCGCTTGTGCGAGTTGCTTCTTCGTGGTGTGTTTGTTGGATTGGAGAGTTTCGTGTTAGGAGTTTATGGAGTGTTGCAAGGAATCGTTCTAAGAATGTGGATTTTAGCAATGGTTCTTGGTACGGAAGTTTCGCCATTCGTAGAGCTACAATGATGATCACGCTAGAGCGCATCTCGAAGAGTGGCATGTTGATGGCTATCATCCCGGTTGCACGTGCTGACGGTATTCTTGTGGTGAAATTGCAGTGCGATGACTTGCAATAGTTATAGAGGCAGGAAGAGGTAATGAACGGGCTCCTTCCCAGAGTGGAAATTTCGAAACTAGGAGTGTCCATCAGCGTTAGGATCATGTCTCGCGGAATAGGGTTAGCATGGTCTCTAGCAGGATTGTGCTTGTGGGGTTTATAGTAGGATTCGCATGGTCTCTTAGAGTCTCTTGTACCCTGCTTTGAGTTGTAGTTCTTGCCATCCTCAAGTCCTAGTTCTCACCATCCTCAACCCAAAACCCTTAAACTAGACCCACAGAGCTACATATCCACCATAAACGGAAAGGGCAGAGCCGATGGTTTAGGGTATTATACAGGGGTCGGAATGGCCAGTAAGAGTGTCTCGTTACAGTCCCAAATATGTTTATCGCGCCAAGAGCCTATTCCAACATAGCACTGCTTTGGCGGGACCGGGTTCCCGTGGGTCTTCGTCTGCATTGCGGGCTTAAATCCTTCACGAGACCTAAACCCTACCGATGAATTCTGCCATGGGCGAGTTGCGAGAGTCAAACTAATCACGACCCTCCCTGATGTGCTCGATCATTCCTATCGGACCATATAAGGTTTAGGGCTTACAGAAGGGTTTAGGAGCATAGGTTTGCAAGTGCACCCCAGGCATCCACCCCCAGAATGCTCAAACTTCAAGCGCTCGTCAGCCACGGCAGGGTGTTGGGTGAAAGGTATCCCAGAAACAACAGATGACCCCCAAACTCCCAACCCCTACCTATAGTCTCCATTGTAGCTCCTTTTTGGGGATACCTTACAAAGTCCCTAAGATATGATTGGTTAAACCGAAAAAAAGGAACTACAATGGAGACTACAGGTAGTCAAAAAACCACAAAGCTCCTCACAACCCCTAGAACCCAGAGCCTCCCCAGCAATCGGCCATGTCTCCACTTCCATGGCAGAACCTTTCCTTTGGGTTCCCCTAGAACGGAAGGAAAGGAGGACTTACCCCAACATCCGTTTTCGAATCAGGAGGCCTAGGGAGAGGAGGGTTCTCTTCAGCGCCCCCGGAGGTTTAACGAGACAGAGATGGACAAGATCGCCATCACCAAGGAGCTCTTCTTGCTGATCGTGCAAGACAGCGCGGTGCAGAAGCTGATGGATGAGCTGCTGAGTTGAGCATTGGTTGTTGGATGTTCCGGGTCGACCTGTGTCGTGGTTGTGGGTTTATAACAGCATCGAGATCCTAATGAAGCTTTAGAGCCGAGAAGCTTTAGGTTGGGTTCGGGCTACACTACTGAGGCCCCGAAGCCTTGATTCCCAATCCCAATGTTGAGATGATGAGACGCACCCGGGACCGCACGCCATGGCCCCGACACCTTGTTGGTTCAAGGGTTCTTGGATCTCTGCGGTTTTGTCGACTTGTTCTAAAGTTGCAGAAAAAGTCCGGCCGCCTTTATCCAAAATAGGGTATACCAATAAGTTAAGTGATTCATGAAACTGCTTTCTCTTCGACGAGATGCTTTTTCGCATTGTCTCTGAAGCCCCCCGAAACCGCGTTCTATGGCGCCCCAATCCCGACGACAAGTCGCCAGAAATTCGGAATGCCCACGCAATCCTGAACTCTCAACCGTTTTTGAAGCCCTCAACCCCAAGCCCCTACAACCCTGCAGGAACCATGCAAATCTCTGTAAAAAAATATCCTTGCAAGACATATCAGATCCAGATAACATCACCTCCGGCACCCTTACCTGCAGCGCCCTGAACATGTACAACGCTTAACATACGACCCCATTAACACTTCATGACAATCCAGAACAGGCCATAAACCCCTACAATTAGGCCCTAGAACACCTTGTTACAATCCCTAACACCCTCATAAACCCTAAACCCTAAACCCTAAACCCTAAACCCTAAAGACCTGCAGGTTGGACCTGCCGCCCGACCGCGCGAATCTCTTTGAGATCATCGATGCGGACGGCAGCGGGACGCTTCAAATCACGGAGCTACTCCATGGACTCCTCAAAATTCGAGGCCGGCGACTTCCAAAATACCATAAATCATGCCATACATATCATAAAACACCGATACTTTTGAAAGGGCTTCGTGTAGCTACTTACTTCAGCATGTATGGTTTATGCACGGTTTTAGAAGGCTTTCTATGAGGCTAGATAGGGTTGCATAAAGGAGGTGTGTCTTCAGTAAAGGCTTGCGCGGGCTGGATCATACAGTAGGGGGATCCTTCAGCCCTGATCCCTAAACCCCTAAACTAAACACTGAAGCGGCTTTAGCCCTCAACCCTGAACCCTTGGGTTCAGGGTTGATTGCTCAAACTTCGTTCTGAGTTCGAAAAGAGGTTAAAACTTAAAGATCATTGGCGCAGGGATCCCCAATGCTTTGCCCATAGGCTCCTAAGTAATTCGTTTTTGTGGTTTATATTTAGAATCCTATCAGGCATTTCCAAAAAGGAACTACTATGGAGTCGCGGCTTTCGACGCTTAGTGTTCAAGTTGTCCTGAAGACAGTGACCTTCCTTGGCTGAGATGTTGCGCTCTTCCCCTCAATTTTTCCCATTGTTCACCCTAAACCCTAAACCCCATAAACCCTGAACCCTAAACCCCATAAACCCTGAGCCCTAAACCCTAAACCCTATAAACCCTAAACCCTAAACCCTATCAGTCCTGAGCCCTAAACTCTAAACCCCATAAACCCTGAACCCTAAACCCTATAAGCCCTGAGCCCTAAACCCTAAACCCCATAAACCCTGAGCCCTAAACCCTAAACCCCATAAACCCTGAACCCTAAACCCTACAAACCCCGTAAACCCTGAGCCCTAAACCCTAAACCCCCTAAACCCTGAGCCCTAAACCCTACAAACCCCGTAAACCCTGAACCCTAAACCCTATAAACCCTGAGCCCTAAACCCAGATCCAAAATCCTGCTAGCCCCCGACTCGGGGAATGTCGGTGCAATTTCGACGGCATCGTCGCCCGAAACATACCTGGGGGTTTCCGAAAATAGGGGACCCCAATATAGTACCCTAAATAGTAGGATCCTTATTATAAGGACCCCAAAATAAGGTACCCCGAAACATACGGTTGATGATAGAAATCCTGCATTACCCAGAAATAGGAATATACCGTAATTCCCATAGTTTAGGGTCCTTCAGGTAATGCAGGATTTATATCATCAACAGTACCTCACCAAAGCCCAGATTTTGTCCAGCAACTACGTGGCAACTACGTACTTCCTTCCGATAAATCTGATCTTTTTACGACATGCCTTCTCGGGGTCTGGGAATGTCTTCTGGGTTTTCGTTTTTTAAGATTTCACGATGGTACTCTCCTTATGCTTTGGGCATTGATGTCCCGGGTCCCCACGATTTGGGTTTGGGGCCGTTTAGGGCTTAAAGGGGACCTTTGCGCAGACTTTTGTCCGAGGTGATCTCAGCAAGAGTGATGCCGTGGCCTCCTTGCTAGCAACGCGCGCGGTGCAGAATATGCTCAGTGACTTCATTGCCGCTCGGATGGGGGCTGGTTTCATGTGACTCTGCAGGGCCGCCTGTTCATTCGCAGTGTGAGGTGCCTTTGCGCGTGGAGATAGCTGGGTTTGGCTCGGTGCCACTTTGAGAAATGGTTGATTTCCCTCAAGGTCCTCAAATAAACGAACTGGAGAGCCTTTAAGGCCCAGGTAAAGAATTGAATAGGAGCCACCGAGAAGATATGGACACGGAAGAGTCTCACAATCAAGGGGTTCTGGCCTGGTGACACCCTTGAACATGGGGTTTCCGAACATAGGGGATCCCATATGGCTCCCTACCCGAAGTCCCAAGTTCCCAAAGCTTTAAAATCTACCTGTGACCGAAAAGACCTACCTTTTGAAGGAACTATATATAGAAACCATAATAAGGAACCCTACAAAAGGGGTAGGTCTTTCCGGCTACAGGTAAACCTTAAAACAGATGAAAGTATGCGGTCCGGACGCCACCAGTCAAGTCCCTAAGAAGGTTCTGGTTCGGGAGTCCGACCTCTTCTTTCTTTTGAATAGGGTTTAGGGTTTAGATTAGGGTTTAGGGTTTAGGGTTTAAGGGTTTAGGGAAAATCTGAAGGTGTTTGGGGTGTTTTGAATTCGCATAGTTCAATTCAAGGTTGAAGCTGGTGGGGTTTGGAATTTGTTTAGCCTTCTGAGTGTGAGGGTCTAGACTAAACGCTTTAGGTTGGGCCCCACCCAGTAGTGGTATAGCAGCAGTCCCACAAGTGGTTTTGTTTGGGTTTGTACTCAGCACAGAGGCCAAAAGGAGCAGTAGGAAGCTTGATTTAGTTAGGCTTCGCATACATCCCCGTCCAGGCCCAACGACGACCAGCCTCAGTGCACCATTGCTGTACCGACTAACTGTCTGAGGGAACTGGATGTAGCCACCATTATCCCTTCCTCACGGGTACTACTAGTTGTGGCTGCCTATAGGTTAGGGTGTGCGGTGTGAGAATAAGCGTCGCCCAAAGGCCTGGGCCCCAAACGTACAGATCTACCTATACTCTCCATTGTAGTTCCTCTTTGGTTTAACCAATTCTATATTAAGGTAACCCCAAAATTTCTCTACTTTGGGGCCTATGGGTACCCCCCCAAAACCCGACAACAAATGCAAGGTTCAGAGCAAGCGGAGTCTTGGCTGCGCTTGCATTGAAGCCCTAAACCTTAAACCCTAAACCTTAAACCCTAAACCTTAAACCCTAAAGCCTAAAGCCTAAACCCTAAACCCCTAAACCCCTGAACCCCTAAACCCAAAACCCTAAAGACTCCCGTGACCTCTCCGATCCCAGCACCGGCCCGGTCCGCGTGCCCTCTATTTGCAGAACTTCTTTGCAGTTGCAACAGAGCCCTACCCATAGGCCCCTAAGTAGTTCCTTGTTCTGGTTCATATTTAGAATCTTATAACTTATAAGGTAATCCCCAAAAGGAACTACTTAGGGGCCTATGGGTAAACCCTAAACCCTAACCCCTCCAAAAAAAGGCTAAACCTCACCCTAAACCTTGAGAACCGGTGACCATGGGAAGCAAAGACCCTGAAGCCGGAGCCTTCCATGAGCCCCGGAAGGCCCCACTCCAAGAGGACCCTAAGCACAAAGCCCTGACGAACCTCAAGTCCTAGCCCCGGATTTCAGCACGAGTTTTGAGACTCTGCTCTAAGAGCAGGTTCAGAGCTAAGGGAAGATCTTCAAGGAGCACACCCCTGAAGGCCTGAGACAGTATGATGGTATAGTGGTCGCAGAAGTAGGTAACAACACATCCTTTCCAGTCCCTCTTTAGTTATAGGATACTCCGCCGCCAAGATCACGATCTGATTATTAAGGCTTCGATATAACGCCTATACTCCAAACACCCCGTAGAGCCACTTCTCCTCACAAAAATGAAACCGTCCTTTTGCAGAAGCTTCGCGTCAGTATTCAGAGTACTGAGCAACACAAGTGTTAGTCACAGAGATACTACTCCTTTGCTCGTCACTCGGGTCGTCACGTGACATCGGAAAACACTCGATTCGAAGAGGATCGGGTTTCAGCTTGAGAGATCAGGGTTTAGGCGCTAAAGCGAGTGCAGCAACTCTGAGAACCAGGCGGGCCTGTACAAGTCTGTATCATCTAGGGCAACCTGCATTCCGGAACCGGCATGTATGTGTGTGTGTGTGATCACACACACAGAGATCTATGCATAGTAAGACTTGCAAACCTCCTCCTACCTGACACTTCTCACATTCTTACTCTCCCAACATCATCCGTCTCTTGATGTGCACAGGCACAGCGTGCGCACCCTGCTGCACACATACATGCCCTTGCTTCCATCCGCCCATGCTTCCTTTCCTCCGCCCAGCCCTTTCCATCCAACCCGCCCATACCTGTGGGTGTGTGTGTGTGTGCGCATGTATGTATGTACGTAGGTACAACTCATGTCTTGTTCTGCTTTAACTGTGCCTTCGCATGCTTCTGGAGCCCAGGAACATGCAGGAGCTGTATTCTGAGCTTCAACGCGACATGGTGGGAGCCCGCGTCGGGCAGGCCAGCAGGCTGAAGTAGATATTGAGGCTGCGTTTGTTTGGTTTTTTATGTGTCTTGTTGATTTCAAGCGGTGGCACCCCCACGGTTTGCTATAGCATTTTTGAGGCCTGGTATTATCAACCTGCAGAGCCATCTTTATGGTGGAGTCTCTCCACCGCACTCCTCATGCCTTAGTTCAACACCTGAACCTTGAAGGAGTTCCGCCACCCCATGCAGGGGCTTTAGTAATAATAATAATGATCATAATAATAGTAATAATTAGAATAAGGTTTTGGGGGTTCCTTATTATAAGCATAGTATAATAATGCACCCCAAACCCTGTTCTAATTATTAAGGCCCCTATATTACTGGCCTCTGGTTTCACGACAAGCGAGACTCGAGACCTTGGACCCCGAAGTCGTGTGGTTTTTTTTGAAGAGTGTAAACAACTCCTCATGGTTTCAGGGTCTAGAGTTTTAGAGTTTAGGGTTTAGAGTCTTTGGGGTTTAGGGTTTAGAGGTTTTTAGGATCGGGGTTTCATGGGGTACAAGGGTTTTTTGCACTCTTCAACCTCAAACAAGACCCGGAAGAGTACTTAGTGCCGGGGTTCGCTGTATTACACTATGGTGTAACTATCCACTCCACCCTTCGCCAGTCTGACGCCTCAGCCCACTGAACTCGGCTTTCAAAGTGAAATCGCCGGGCTCACAGGCATGTAGGTTCGAGCAGAACTGTATGCACACACATAGCTAGATAGCTAGCTCGCGAGATAGATACGATATGATCCCATGTCGGGCTTCGCAACCTCGCACAATTGGTGTCTAAGCCGCCCCCCTCCCATCCCTCTGTGTGGTATGCGCCTTTTCTTCGCCCCTCTTGTTGTTTTTTGGGGCTGGGTTGCCGACATGGTTCGTTCAGAGCCGACCACCCAAACCACATGAGGAGGAGGCGACGAGTGTCGATGCCATGGTCCACATGATAGACAATGCTTGCACGGGGGAGAACCGCACGAGAGCGCCAGCGTCCCACGCGGAAAAGGGCAACGGCAACCACACCAGTATAATTTTCACAACAAGATTACCTCAAACACATAAGCCTTAAACCCTAAACCCTAAACCCGAACAATCCGATTAACAAATAGCTGTAGCCATACATATCTCGACTCCTGCAGGAAGGGAAAGAAGTAGCCCCGGAGCCTGCAACCTACGCACAAAGGCTTAGCACCCTAGACTGCAAAGCCACCCGAAACAACAAAACTCGTTTGAACTCCAAAAAGTTAGTAATGTGAGGCCTGAATAGTGATCCGGATACTGATTTTTGGGGTTCCTAAGTACTTTATAAGAGTAGCACTGAAAAAAGCCATTGAACACCCTTGTAGACCACTGCAAAGGGAAAAACTTCAAGGAACACTATTCCAACTATGTATGTCCAAAAGTTGACCCCACTCAGTAACAGTTGCATGTTCTTTCCGATATCGATGAGGCCCTTAACAGTAGCCCAACTGTAGACTGTTACTGTAAGTGGGGAGTACCCAACCTTTATTTTTACCCCTTCATAAAGCCCTACACCCAAAACCCAAAACCCTAAACCCTAAATCCTATAAGCCCTAAACCCTCCTCGCCTGGCTTGTCCGAGTTGTGAGAGCGTAAAAGGCCTACCCTAAACCCTATAACCTAAACCCAATAAACCCTATAAACCCTACAAACCCTACAAACCCTACAAACCCTACAAACCCTAAACCCTAAGGGCCTGAAGCGGGTCTACGCAGAAGTTTCTGAGAGGCCGGGCGGCTGTCCCTCACAGCCTCCATCGCCTCCTCCGCCTCGAGTGGTGCCTCGGACTGAAGGGTTTTCGGGTTTGAGGTTTAGGGTTTAGGGGTTTAGGGTTTAGGGTTTAGGGTTTAGCGTTTAGGGTTTAGGGTTTAGGGGTTTAGGGTTTAGGGTTTAGGGTTTAGGTTTCGGGTTTGAGGATCTATATGCTGTGGAGGGTTTGAGTGTTTTGGTGCTTGTGCTGTAGGGGGTGTTCAGCGTTTATGGCTTACATGGTTCATGCGTGTTGAGGTATGTTAAGCTTTATTTGGTTTATGAGGGGTTTCAAGGCCACAAAATAAACCTGCAACAGATCTTGCATGGAGCAGTCAAGAGAAGAATACCGAACTACGGACGTGTTATTTGCATGCTAGCTGCTACTGTAGCCTTTATTGGCTTGCAGCGCGGCTGACGGGATTGAGGCCGAGATGGCGAGAGAGAGAGAAACAGTATCCAAAAGCCGGTCTGCCAGCAGCAGCAGCAGCAGCAGGAGGAGGAGGAGGAGGAGGAGTAGTAATAGTACCCCTTTACGGCCTTCTTCTTTTGCGATCCCCTTGGTATTCCAGAACCATCAACACGGCTATGTGTAGCCTTCTTCTTAAGCGGTCGAAGCCAGGCTCTCTCAGCGAAACTCAGTTTAGGGTGGGTTCAGGCTCGCAGGGCCTAGGGCGAACCCTAAA